TGAAAACAATAACAGTGTCAGCACTGTCAGGTTATTCATTTATTTTCATTAAATATGTAGACTAAATAATTAAATTAAATTTTCAAGCAGAACATGTATTAATTCTAATGAACAATGCCACATTATGCAGCATTCATTTTTGAAAGTTTTTAATAAGCGATGCTCGGGGAGAGTTTGGGGGGGGGCGGAAGGTGGAAGCTTCGCCTAGGGCGCAAAATATCCTTGCACCGGCCCTAGATAGTGCTCCACAAAACTGGCCTGTGCAGCTTCAATGCAGACGAATGGCCTCCCGACATCTCATGGGCTTCGCTCTGGTTCTTAGACCAGCTCCATCGAACTAGTGCAGTCCCCAGGGCTTCAGGGCTGAACTCCCAGCCCATGCTGAAACCCTGGTGGCTTCTGGGATTTGTATCACTTGGTTCATTAAACCTTCTACAAAACAGGTTTATTGATTCACCCCCATGTGACTCCAGTGTCCTGTTACGAGCTGTACCACTAATCAATTCATAAATACCACTAAAGCTTGGTTATAATTGAGATCTCTCTAATTACTAAAAAGACTGAACCGGAATTGGTAACAAGTCTGAATGTGACACGCTCCCAGTCTCCATTAATGAAGTTTCATCTTCTTGGTGGCCCTGATGTCACAAAGCAATTAGAACCACAATCATCTTGGGTTTTGGGTGGAAAAACACCCACTTCCAAGTACCTCTCAGCTATCCAGATGAAACCTCCCAAATCATTTCTGTTTCTTCAGGAAAGAATCCAGGCCCATTTGAAGACACTGAGGGAAGAGAGAGAAAAGCTGCTGGGATTCAAAGCGACTAGAAAGGGGAATAGCCGGGAGTATCTGGTAGGTGTCTGTTGTTATGAACCAGCAGAGACTGGCAGTGGGAGGTCTGTTTGGAGGCAGACCCCTGTGTGGCCTTGGTGAACATGAGCTTGTGTGTGTTTCTCCATGATCATGGATTGCTGGGTTAGGTTCATGTGTAGACAAGTCCTAAGCTTCCATTGCAGTTGATGAGTTAATATCTAGCTCTTGTGGCTTGCCCAGAAATCCTCCCCAAGTGAATTGAATGTCCTCATGAAGTGTTGTCCACTGTGTCTGGTCATTTCGTGCATTTTTTAAAAGTTTGTGTCTTTTAACTCCCCTGGCATATCTGTCAGTGTAGTGCTGAGTCCTGCCTCCTGCTGCTCTGGGTCTGAATGCCCAGAGACCATAAATAACAGAATATGCTGACCATGACCGACATGGAAATATCCCTTTCAGAGGGATACCGGGGCCAAAGGGGAAGGTGTGAGAGAATCCCCTGCCTAGTACCCACAGGGTAGAGTCAAATGTCAGAAATCTTGTGATTTTCAAAGAAATTCAGCGTCCTGCACACTCAGCTCTCCATGAAAGGACCCTGGGCTCCAGCCACGGTCCCTGACCAGCCCTTGCCCTATTTTTATACAGAAACAAACACAAACTGAGAGGCAGAAGATTGTGTCTGAATTTCAGCAACTGCAGCAGTTCCTGGAGGAACAAGAGCGACTCCTGCTGGCCCAGCTGGACAAGCTGGACGAGGAGATTGTGAGGATCCAGGATGAAAATGTCAGTCAACTCTCCGAGCAGATTTCCCATCTCAGTGAGCTGATCAGTGAGATGGAGGGGAAGTGTCAGAAGCCAGCAAGTGAATTCCTGCAGGTGAGACTGAATGAGAAACATTAGCACTGGAGCATAGTAGCTGGGGCAGGGCCTTCCTCCCCCATATTTTCTAAATCCCTTCCCTGGCACCCCCTGTTT